TAAAAAATAATTTACTTTAATCACAAACATTGAGATTAAGAAATTTTAAGATTCCGTTAAGGGTCTCGCATTGTAAAGTAAAAAAAAAAAAAAGAAAAACCAATGCTAGGGTGATGCGTGAAAAACGCACTCCACACAGAAGCCCAACTCAAGTAAGAGATTCAACCCCTCACATCAACAGAGAACAGTAGGGTGATGTTTTTGTCTCGTGAGTAGGTTTGTAGGCTCGACTTTTATGTAGGTTACACTTCACGCTAAGTGCAGGGATTCTCAATATTTTTTTTTCCTTTGTCATATTTAATGTATCAGTGTCAATTTAATTTTCCCATAACCTGGGTGGGGCGAGTAGGTGAGCCCCACAGATAATTGGACCTTCAACCATTGGGGTTTTTTTTTTGATCCTAAACTGTTTAGGATGCTAGGTAAAAATCTTCAAAGCTAACATGGAATGTGATGATAGAGACTGTCTTGTTTTATGTGTTTAACCTTTTCATCAAACAAAGATTTAGTCTACTTTGCTTTGCAGATAGTTGAAAAAAAGGTAAATTTTCTGATTTATTGTGGGGAAATGTTCTAAGAACTTGTGTAGAAACAAATTCAATATTGGAGGTTGTCTTAGCACCAGAGATGGATCTTGATTCTATAGGGGAGAGCACCCTTATCTTTAGATATGAAACAATGATTTCTAAGGATTAGCTTGGACTCTTGTTTACCTTGACCTTAATCCATGATCCTTCACCTGTTTACCTATTTTCAACATAAAATAATTATGTTGATATAGTATATATGACATTCTTTTACTTAAAATTATAAAGCAAGAAAGTTAATTTTTAAATTTTGCTAAATGATTGTGTTCTAATTATGAAAGTAAATTTGCGATACAAACATAATAACATTTATAAATTATTTATGTGTTAAAGACAGCCCGGTACCAGCACCCGCTTAACCTTTTCAAAACCCTTTTCTAAATCTACTAGAATCTAACGTCTCTATGGGTCTCCGCGAATAAATTTGAGAACCGCTGAAGTAATCGGACTTGGTCACTTGTGCATGCTACCTTTGCACCGTGACCCTCTCTCTGCTGCATTCCCGTGTGATGTATTTGACCCTTAGCACTTATGTGGGCCACCGCATTTTTCACTGGGAACATGATGTGAAATAAACTACGCGTGAAATACATTGTACTGGGTCGCACTGCGCCCTTTTGTTTTTAAAGGCGGAGTAGGCGGAGATCGATAAGCTTTTATTTATAAAAAACAATTCGCCTTCGTTGATAAAAAAATAAATAAAACTCTACAATATCCAACAATGCAGGTTTGATAATATACACGTCTGTTTTGTGTTATTTAATTAATGAATGTTAATTTTTAAGTTCATGATTATGTTTGTTAAATTGTATGTATGTATACAGCATGGTGAGCCCAGCCCTAGTCTCGGTTGTCGTGCTATATAAAACCACCACAAATAATACTAATATCTATCTATATATATATATATATATATATATATATATATTAGATATACGTATATAAATAATACGTTAATAATACTATTATAAACAAGGGCTTAACCGGGTGCAGTTTACACCTGGTCCGTGTAGCTTGAGAAAATAACCCGTGGGTCCTAGTATTCCACAAAAACAACGTATTAGCTTCTCATTTGCTATCAACAATAGGCCTACAGACAGTCCTACAATCATATACATATATATATATATGAGGGGAAAGGGGGGAGGAGAGGTACACTTGACGATCGGTTCTTGTACGTAAGAAGAAAATCTTTAACTCTACCGGTTTCAAAACCGTCCCAGGTCAGAAGTGACTTAAATAGTAGTGCAAAGAAAATGTCAAAATGTTGCGTGGAAATCTGGTCACCTTTGAAACTTTCATCTTTGCTACTTTGTGGCTGGTTTTTTTTTTTGTTTGTTTGTTTTTT